GGGCGGCTGCCTCTGGCAGGAGGTGTCCTGCTGCCAGCCTGTCTCCTTGCCGCCCTGCCCGGTCCCTCTTCTCCACTCATGGTGTAGGGCCAGGTTCTCGGGGTCCTGGACAATCTCGGCTAACTTTTCCTCGGGATGTTGAAGGGCGGTGCCTGTGGAGCGGCTCCAGGGGAGGGTTTAATCATCCAGTGAGGAGCATGAGAGAGGATGGGACCCCGAAGCTTTTAAAACCTGTGGGGCCATCCCCACCATCCTGTGAATTCATCGAAAGAAGAGACTCAGGGATGTGGGGGGAGCTGCAGGTGGAGGTGGATCCTACTCTGTCTTCAGTAAGAAGCACCTTTGGTTGGAAAGAGGGGGCAGTTGCAACCAGCATGTTGTTGCGGTGGCCTGAGGAGGTCACTGAACCCAGTGCCAGGACAGCTGAGTTCTAGCCTCAACCTCTTCCTGTGAGAGCCGGGTGACTGAGCAGCTCTCTGAGCCTCTTGCTGGTCTTAAAGGGCAGTGAATAAATAGGAGTGCTGTGAAAGCAGGTTTGTGCCTCACCCACGCAGCCCTTGCGCGTCCCAGGCAGTTATCCCGGCTCTCTTAGAGCTCAGCTGGGGGTCAGGATCCTGGGCTGCGCACTTGGGTGCTGCCCAGAGTCTTGAACATGCACTTGGACACTTGGCAACCTCTTGCCCAGGAAAGGGTGGGTTTATGCAAGACCATCTGCTGCCCGACAGATGGGGGTTCTGATTCGCTTGGGGACAGAGAGCTGTGGTTGTCAGAGCAGACACGGGACCCCAGAAGTTACCATTCTAGGGAAGCAGCTGTGGTGGCTGAAAGAACCAGGCAACTTACAAGCTTGTCCCTTCCTTTCCTCCACTCACCTGGGGCCTAAGCCATAGCTCTTCTTCCTATAGCCCTGCCCCCAACACAGATACCCTAACATTCTTTCAGGGGCCCTTTGGACCCTGATTGCTCTCCCCTTCCTCTATTTGCCAGGCCATCTGCATCTCTAAATCTTGGCAAGTTCCTGGTGTGGCAGGAGGTACAGAGACACTGACCAACTGCATGCGAGTGCCGGAGGGAGGGAGGGTTCTGCTGTCTTGGCACAGAACTCCAAAGAGAGAAAGCAGGTTATTTCAAATCACTGCATCTACTGCTCTTTCTAGTGTCCTTTTCATGTGAGCAACTTCCTCCTATTGTCCCTGCCCAGTTCCTCAACTGCCTGAGTGTTTCTCAAATGTTCTTCCTGGAGGCACCATTTACCCTTTTGTGTTTGCAGCAACTGCCGACCCCTTACGTGCACGCTCTATTTCTGCTGTTAAAATAATTCCTGTGAAGACAGTGAAAAGCTCTTCAGGCCTAGTACTCCCTCCAGGTACCTCTCCTTGGGTTGGTTTCTTTTTTAATTGCTAGCCGATCGTGCATGGTGTTCCTTTCTCCTTTCCTTCTAACAAAGACTCAGAGACTTAATCCTTGCATGTTTAGGACCCATTCCCTCTCACATCCTCTGTTGGTTTCCTTTCTTCCTCTGTGTGTGTGTGTGTGTGCGTGTGCGTGCGTGTGTGTGTGTGTGTGTGTGTGTGTGTGTGCTTCTGTGAGCCTGCCAGTCTGGAGACAAACTGACAGATACCTTGGCCCCTTCCCCTCTTTAGGAGAAGGGTCAGTCCAGAAGCTAAACATTTACTCTGTGCAGGTCTGAGGTACATGGACTTCTTAGGCTCTCCCTAGAGGTTTCTAGCTCCCAGTACTTTGTTTAGAATTCCAGTTTCCTTGAGAATTAATGTGGCCACACAGGAACCTCTGAACTGGGCTGAACTTGAGGCAGCTGCCTTAGGTGCTACACTAGATGCACCGCTGTGGTTCTCGCAGCGCCGTTTCTTGAGCACTCCCTCCCCACCCCCAACTGCACCTGCCGTCACTTCCTGCCTCTTCTCTCCAAGAAGGGGTCCAGTTCAGATGTCAGCTCCAGCTCACTGCTTCCTTCCTACGAAGCAGGACAAGTGAGGCCTGGGTGGCTCTTCATCCCAGTGGTGCTTTTAGGAGGCGGGCAAACCTCGCTGTGTGCCCAAGAACCTGTGGCTGGATTTATCAGTTTGCCCCTCACCCTATTGAAAAGCCCATGAATCAGTTTTCCAGCAGTTTGGTGACATCAGTCACTTACCCTCTTGATAGGGTTGGACAAGTCAGCTTCTCTGCAAGGCTGCTGCCCGCTATGCCAGACATGGTGTTTGTATGCTTTGCTGTCAGTGGAAGAGGTGCCAGTGGGGCAGATCTGTCCCCTCCTGTAATACCAGTGGCTACTCTGTCTGAGTTGTCAGGAAGGGGGCTGCTGGAGTGGACAGAAGGAGAAACAGGCTCTCCTCTATGCCTGGCACAGGCATGGGGATGAGTTGGACATTCGAGCCCATATCCTGTCCAATGCCCACCTTAAACTTGACCCCATAATCCCAGGCTTGACGGTTTTAGGTCAGAGATCCTGGCTGTGCTGTAAGCAATTTGAAAAAAAATGAACTGTGGAATTCAGTTCAGCTCAGCCGCACAGAAAGACCACGGAGCACATGTGCCTCCTAGGACTGTGTGCTCTGCATCGGCTTCTGCCTCCCGTGCTGACTCTCCTGGAGGACGAGCTGCCAGCTCTTTTGAAGCCTGTTTTGAAACGCTTCTCAGTGGAATTCTGAAAGATGACCTGGGTCTGTTATTAGGCCATTGTCAACTGCAGGAGAGGTCAGGACCCAGCGACGGCTCAGCTGGGGGTGCAGCGCACACTGTTCATGGCAGGGTTCAGCGTTTCTGGTCGTTTCCTTTGGTGTGAATTTTCTTCATTAAGTCTGGAATGTGAGGCTCTCTCACCCATGGTCTTTCTCCCCAGGCAGCAGATCCTGTCTCATCTTTTCAGGGGTCCTGACTTGCTGATACAGATTTTCTTTTCCTTTTTCCATTGGAGAAGTGATTCTCTGCCGAAAACCACCTAATTCCTGATGTTGCCAGCTTGAGCTTCTATCGGATGGTCTGGGAGCTTGAGAAATCTTTCATAAACTCTTCCTTGGACTGTGCCTTACTAATTGGTCAGATGCCCGTTCACCAACCTAAACTTCATTTAATAAAAGGAATAAACCTGCTTTCATTTTGAAATGTTTTCAGCTGATAGTGTAACTCATACATTTACTCCATTTCCCCCTAACCTCATGACGGGTGGTAAACCTTGGAAAATGGGGTTCGTTCCTCTCCATCACCCACAAATTGATTTTCATTGACCATGAGACTGTGTGGCTGAGGCAGGTTCATCTCATTCCCCTCGTAACAAGTTGTTGGCTGACTGTTGCTTAATCCTTTAGGAGCCTTGGCTTCAGTGCTTTTTCTTGGGTCTTTCCGTTTCAGACATGGATCCCACAAAAGTGTGCACTGGGAAGGGAGCCGTGACTCTCCGGGCCTCGTCCTCCTACAGGGATACCCCAGGCAGTAGCCCTGCGAGCCCTCAGGAAACCCCGCAACACGAAAGCAAACCAGGTGAGCTTCCCCTGCAACCAGGGGCAGGTGTTCAAGCCACCTGGGAATGGCATGGATTCATCAGCGCTTCCTGATTCTCCCAGGGCCCCTGGGTCAGCCAGCAACTTGTCCCATCTGTCATGGGTGGTGATCAGTGCCGTGAACTGACAGGTACTCTTGCTTCCAGCAAAGGCACAGGAACCACCACTTGATTTTAGCTTTTGACTGGACAGATGAGCAGAAACCCTGTTACGGAGCTGGTGGCTTTGCACATTGCACTAGTGAGGACAGAGGTGGCTTGGGGGCATGGGGAGGCAGTGGTGAGATGGGCTAGTGGTTAGGTGTCTCTGAGGGCTTGGCTGTGACTGGCCAGGCAGGGCTGGGGCTGGGAGGAAGCTAGGGGCACTGAGAAGTTCAGGCAGCTGACCCACCTGGCTCCCAAGAATGTAGAGGTGAGTCAGGGCTCAGGCCTGGAGGGTGACCTGGCAGCTGAGGGAGCAGGATCAAAAGAGCAGTTCTGAGGCCAATGCAAACTAGGAGCAAAGGAGACAAAAGAAGCCCGTCTGAAGCCCGACTTCCCACCCTAGCCCGTCACTCGGGAAGCCTGGGTGTCCAGAGCATGGTGCTGAGGTTTAGACCTGGGACTTTGGAACCTGATAGATCTGTGTTCAAGTCCTTCACCACCTGTTGGCTGTGCAGCCTTGGACGCGATATTTAGTCCTCGACCCTAGTAATCACATCGGTAGAATGGGGTTGATGACTGCACCTGCCTCCTAGCATTATTGTGAGGATGAAATACCGAAGGTGTTTTGCACCACACCTGGTGGCATGGAATGAGTACATTTGTTGCAACAGGAGAGTGAGGCGTGGGCCCCTAGTCCACAACCTTGTGTAAGTCACACCTTTGAAGCATGTATGAAGTCTGAGGGACTTGGGCAAGATGGTTTTCAAGCCATTCTAGTTCTAAAATGCTTTGTAACCTTGGGAAGACGTGATTATTTTGGCCTCTCTGGAGAGGGATCTCCACAGCCCAAGTGTCCCAGGAGTTGAGAAATGCCGACTTGGAGGTTCCACAGGCACGTTAGTGCAGGGTGGGACAGACCTTCTCCACTCTGGGCAGTGAGTGGTTCTCACACTTGAGTTGCATCAGATCACCTGGAGTAAAAACACCGGTTCCTGGGCCCCCAGGTCAGAGCTTTAGAACTTCTGATTCCCACTTGTAGGTCTGGGGTGGGGTCCGCAGTTTTGCATTTCTGACAGGTTCCCAGGTCATGCTGATACTGCGGGTCCAAGGACCACATTTGAGAGCTACTGCTATAGAGGATGGGAGTTTCTTCCTTAAAGGAAGGAATTAAAGGGAGAAAAGGAATTGGAATAACAACTATTCCCTTGGGACCAGAGAGGAAAGGAAGTGGGACATGAAAACTCTTTGCTACAGTGGGGAGCAGTGTGTGGTGATAAGATGGAATTATGTACGGTGGAAATGGTCAGTGCCCAGCATCCTGGAAACTGACTTTCTGTCCCAGCCACCTGGAGCAGGTACCAAGGCAGATGTCCAAGGTTGAGGCCAGGCTGGGGTTTGAGCTTCTTTCTCCCCCAGCTCAGGGAACACACAAGTGGCCTCCAGCACTAAGACTCGAAGGTAGCTTCTTGGCCCTAGATTCTTGAACCCACACCTGACTCTTGCCCCACTGCGGTTTGTCACTCATATCCTGGAAAGGTGGGGCCAGGAAATGAAGGCAAAATAATTTCTTCTTAAAACAAGTCTCATCCAGCCTCTTCAGGCCTAACTGGGAATATCCAGCTCCCAATCTGGAAGATGTATGGGAAAGAGAGAATCCCAAGTGATGGTGAAAGAGAAAAACCATCTTACAGCCCAGTGGCCCAGTAAAGTGACCTATCAACCGCCTGGCCCTTTCTCGGGGTGGAATGAGAGGTGACTGAGAGGAGAGGGAGCCTGAGCTCCCCCTGCTGGTTATAGTGGGGCACTATCAGAATGCAAACGCTGCTCCATCCCACCGCCCTAGGCTTGCACTACAGCACTGTGCAGTTATTGGAGGCACTTTAGGAAGCTCTATCTAGTCTTCAAATAATTCTGTGTCTTACAAATTTATAACAGCTAATTTGGGCGATAAAAGATCATGTTTTAACATGCAAATACTCTGACAAATTAGGGATAGCCTTCAGTCATTCACAATTTACAGTAAATTAATCTTAGTAGATTATTTTCATCCTAGTAAGTTGAAATCACAGAATCCAAATTATTCATTCAGATATTCATTCAGCAGCATCTCTGTGCCAGGCACTAAGTGAGTCACTGGAATCGTGATGAGAAATGGGGAGAAGGCAGGAAAAGGGAGAGTAATTCTGGGTGCACTGGGTGAGGACAGAAGGCAGCTTGTGGCGACAGGAGAGTCAGGCGTGGGCCCCTAGTCCACTACCGGGCTTCCTGACCGTGGTTAAGCCACGCCTTTTAAGCACACATGAAGTATGAGGGACTTGGGTAAGATGGTTTCTAAGCCACTCTAGTTCCAAAATGCTCTGTAACCTTGGCAAGTTTGGGAATTGAGCTGACACAAACTGAATTCCAGTCACTGGGGACAAATCCAGGATTATGCACTAGAGCAGCTTGGGTGGAAAGGAACAAGCTTGGTTTAAGTAGAGGGGAAAAGCCCCATACTGATTAAGAGTAAACAACAGGCTGGAACGAGTTGACACTGGGGGTGAGGTTAAAAGGATGTGACTCTAGAGGTAGGACCCTCAGGACTCAGGAAGTTGTCTTTGTACGCTCTGCTCATTGACCAGCATTCTGCTGGCTCTTGACTCTGGCTCCCTCATGCTCTCAGCCCTTCCTGCTCCCTCCATCTGGGCCTCTGGATGACAACTTGCTGACCTACACCAGTCTCCAGTCCTGTCCTGGTCCTGGGAGCCCCTGGGCCTAGACCTGCCTCAGGAAAACAGTTTTCAGCAATATTTTCAGGGAGCATGCCCAGCCTGGACTGGGAGCCCAAGTATGAGGCAGTGAGTGCCTCTTGCCAAGGATTGGGAGTGCTTTTTCTACTCCCAATGTCTTCACAGATAGCTGATGTCAAATAGCGTCCAGCTCCTTCCCTTATAACTAGGGCCAGCATCTGTCCCCCAGCTGCTCTGTCTGCAAACCCACCCCCACCCTGTGCCTTGCCCCTGCCTTTACCACCTTCTTCCATTCCTACAGGTCTCCAAGTTGCTGATCATTTGCCTATATTGGAAGCTCTAGTCTCCCACACTGCCTGGCACCTGCATACTGATTTCTTTCCTTAAATTGCCCTTTGACACCCACATTTCAGAGACACCCCCTATTTCCAGTCCTTGTTCCAACTCTCTCATCCATCAAGGCTCAGCTCCGCCACTTTACCATCTTTGGGATATGAGCAAATTACTCAACCTTAGAGAGCTTCAATTTTCTCATTTATAAAATGGGAGTGATCTTAATAGAGTTGAGATTCAGTGAGCTCTTTCATATCGACACAACACAGAGCCAGGCATAAGCAGCGGTTCTTTAATGGCAACCATTCTGCTTACTGCAGACCAGGAGGCCCCTTAAAGACTTTCAGTAATTGCAGTTAGAGGCCATGAGGGCTGGGCCTAGCATGGTGGCAGCAGGACTGAACAGAGGGGCCAAGGGTAAGTGGATTTGGAAGAGTGAAGGGGCAGGGTATTTAAGGAGCACCGAGGGGAAGAGCTCTGTGCTGGCCAAGAGAATGACAGTGGCACTCATGGAGATGGTGGGTTCATGCAGGAAGTTGAAGAAGTGTTGCAGTCTCTTTTTTTGACATGTTGAGTTTCTTGGCAAGGAAAGGACTTCTAGGCAGAAGTTTCTAATAGGCGTTTGGAAATTTGGAGTCCAGCTATGGATCTGGGAGCCATCTGTGTCCAAAGGACCATGGAGAGGATGGAGATTCTGAGGCTCATGGCAAACGGAGCCTTTGGAGTTGCCCAATTTAAACCCATTGTCCAGACTCCTGCTCTCAAGTGGTAACCTGACTCTGGATCCCTGACCTTGGCTTCCTGACCAGCCTCCTAATCATTGAACGTGGACCTTGGTTTTTGGATCAGAACCATCTGGAGAGAACTGCAGTAATCTTAGCAGGAGAGGCATTACCTTATCCCTGCTTCCTGTACCATTGCCTGGCCAGTCTTGGTGTTGGCCCTGTTGGTTCAGAGTGACTCCACCCACGTCCCCAGAGGAGACAGGGAGCCTGAACTGGTGGTGGGTGTGAGACCAAGCTTCCTGTCTGGTGTAGCCTGAAGACCATCAATCCCTGTTTTTTGACTCAAAAGCCAAAATCCAGTTCACATCTTACATTTTGTTAATTCTGTGCCAGTTGGCTTGACTCCTTTTGCCTGGTTCTTGAGGACCAAGTTAGCTTTGCACAAAAGATTCTTGGGCCTGCAATCAACTCATTTCCTCTAGTTTGATCCTCACATTTGCTCTCCAGAAATGGCAGGAGCAGAAAGATGTCATGAGAAAGTTAACATTGAAGCAATTAAGGACACTTCCTGCCCCCATTAACTCAGAGTCCTTTCAGTGAGCACATGTGTAAGAATCAAGGCCAACTGAGAGATGGAGGGAAAGTCCCCATAAGAGAACACCCTCACTTCTGACATCAATCCAAGTTCAGGGGCTCCCCAAAACCATCCTGGGGTTTGATCTTTACTAGGAGGACTCAGAACTCATTGAAAAGCTCGTGGTTGTGGTTTATTACAGACTAAAGTCAGCCAGGAGAAGAAACGTGGAGTTTCCTCTCCTGTGGCCTCAGGACCTGTCGTTCCCGGCACTGAGGTGTTACAGTATGCTCAGATGTTGCATGCAGGCTGTGCACCTGAGCCACTGTGTCCAGAGTTTTTCTTTTCTTTTTTTTAAAATATATCTTTTTTATTGATTTCAGAGAGAGGAAGGGAGAGGGAGAGAGATGGAAACATCAATGATGAGAGAGTCATTGATCGAGCCCACAACCCAGGCATGTGCCCTGACGAGGAATCGAACCTCGATTGCCTGGATCCTAGGTCGACGCTCAACCGCTGAGCCACACCCGGCCGGGCCAGAGTTTTTCTTGAGACTCTCTTACATAGGCATTGCCCATGTGGCTGATCCCTGAAATCATATTATTAGAGTGGCACAGAGACACTCCTATCAGTCCGACATTCCAGGGGCTTAAAGAATAACTCCCAGAAGCCAGAGGGCAAAGCCAGGCATCTTTACCACACAACATGAATAAGAAGTAAACATAAAAAAAAGAGTTTAAAACACTCCTAGAGCCACTTTTAACACCTCTCATCTGTTGGACACTCTACCAGGACATATCAGATCTCTCAGAGAAAGTTATCCTAAAATTCCAAGAATTGATCAGCAAAAACAATTTAGAACAGACCAAAGTGAAATTAGCATGGAGTGAGATACAAGAAAATATCAGGAGGCTATGGCCACAGGCCAAAAAAAATTGTAAAGGACAGATGGAGGAAAAGATAAGGCAAAATAAATTATACTTCTCGTGGGAAGGCTCGGATCTCTTCAGGGCTACAGAACCTACCTAAGATCCAACTTTCCAACATTTGTTGAAAGGAGCATTTTGACAGTATCCTGAACCAGAAATTTATATTTGATGGTTATATATATAAAAGTTCACATGCTGTACTCAGGCACATAATGGTCCTGGCTGCTACCAGCCTTCTAGGTTCAGAAGGCTGGGTAACAGATGAAGGCTGATAAACCGTCAGAAACACAGCTCTCCTTTAAAGGAAGAGAGGAGAGGAGTGCTCAGAGAGGTCCTGGGAACTGCCTTCTGGGGGGCAGGAGAAGGGGAACAATTTTAATGACTTGGAATTAGAAGAAAAAGTGGGTTGATCCCCAAGGATATTATGTTCTTGGAGCTATTTATCAAATGGCAGAAGTCAGCAACTCATTTATTTCTACGTCTGGACAAATTTTTTTTCCTTATGCTTTGGATTCCTAGTTTACTGAGCACATACTTTGTGCCAGACATTTCCATTTGATCCTCATGACTCAAAAGAGGTAGGTAATATCTCTCTCACAAACGAGGCTGTCCTTTGCTGCGAGATATGCAGTTTGCGAGATAGTTAGGACTCAGACTTGGCAGTCTAATGCCAACACGAGAGTCCCTTTATGATGTCCAGACCTTTGGAGGGACAGACTCTTCTCAGTTTTCCACGACATAATCTGTTTGCCGGTGTCACCTGAGTAGAACCAACCCAACTGAGAACCAAAGAGGGAGCAAAATGAGGTGCCCCCAAATCCATATTTTAGTGGACTTGTAAATCTAATAAATTTGATAGAATGACAAAGGTGGACTAGAAGTAACATAGAAAGGAAGATGGGGCAGTAAATGCGATAGGTGCGGGGAGCGGGGAGAGCCATTGTCACAACATGTCACCTGGTGTTTCAGGACCTGTTAGGTGTGAGGCAGTCTCTGGGCCGGGGTTCTGGATGGATGCAACAGAGAGCTGAAAATGGTCACGCTGAGGCTGCTTCAGAAACCTAATCTCTGGATCTCCAGCAACCCTGCAAGGTGTACATGGAGTAAGGATTTTGTTTTACAAATGACGAGAGTGAAGTTCAGAGTGATTGACAGCTTGCCCTTGCTAATACATTGTAGTAATGTGAGTAAAATTCAAGTCCTTTAAATTTCCCAGTTTCTGTGGTTGGGAAGAGAAGACAGATACCTGTGAATTGTCCATGAGGGAGGAGCAGGAATGTAACAGCAACCTGCTGAAGGAATGCACAACGGAAACATGTAAAAACCCTGCCTAGAGGGGGGCGGAAATGAGCAAAAGTGGATACAGTTAGTTTTCCAGAATAAAGATGTTTTTAAGTATTTCTTGTATCAGTGGTTCTCAAAGTGTGGGCTATGGACCATCAGCCTTAGCATCCCCTGGGAACATGTTAGACATGTACATTTTCAGACCCAGCCTTCCATCCCTGAGTCAGAAGCTCTGGGGGTGGGTCCAGCAGCCTGTCTTCAAAAGTCTTCCCTGTGACTGGCACCTTGCGGTTCCCACCACATCCCTGAGATGTAGGTGCTACTCTGTGGCTGATGGTGCGGTTGCTGGCTGCAGAGAGTGGACGGAGCGCTGTGCTTCATTCTGAAGCCCCGGGCTGACTGCCTCCTGGCTGTGTGCTCTGGGCTAGTCAGTTGGCCTTTCTGTTTCTTCAGCCATGAAGGAGAGCAGTTACCTGCGTCACAGACTCATGTGCACTAAATTAAATACTAAACAGGAGCAAAAGTGACTAACAGTGTCTGGCACTTAGAAAGGTGTGCAGTAAATGTGTGTAAATCTCAGCTTGACATGTGGAAAGCCCATCTCTAGTCCGTGAGGGACACAGGTTGAAATAGAGCCTCGGACTGCGAAGGCTGCTGTCTTATCCCCTCTTTTCTCTATTTGAGTAAGACAAGAGCAGGTACCCAGGGACAAGAAGGAAGTTAAGGGATTGGCTAGATCAGGGGTTGGCAAACTATGACCCATGGGCCAGATGTGGCTGTAACTGTTTTTGTACAGCCCATGAGCTACAAATGATTTTTATATTTTTAAACGGTTGAAAGAAAAATCAAAACAATATTATACACCACATGAAAATGGTATGAAATTCAAATTTGTGCCTATAAACAAAGGTGTATTGGAGCATAGCCACAGTCATTCATGTAGACGTCACCTATGTCGGCTGCAGCAGAATTGAGTAGTTGCCACTGAGACCGTATGGCCCGCAGAGCCTAAAATATTTACTGTGTGGCCTGTTCTAGAAAAAGCTTGCCAACCGCTGGGCTAGATGGAGGGTAGAGGAGAGAGACAGAGGTGATGCAGAAGATGGTAAGAGCAGGCACACACTGAGCACTGCCGGGCACGGGCTCAGCATGTCTCATGCCTTACATCGTTTAATTGGTGAAACAACACCTAGGAAGGCGTATCATTATCCCCATTCTCAGGGGAAACTGAGGCTTATAACTTGCCCAGGGACACAAAGCCGGCAGCTGGTGGAGCCAGGATTCGAATTGAGTTCCAGCTTCCTTCCCAGCTGAGCTCAGGATCATTGTGCCCTGTTGCCTCATGGTGTTAAGTGGGACAAGTTAGGAGAGGTTTAGGGTCTCTGCCATGCACTGGGTGGTGGCTGGGAGGGCAGGGTGATAGCGGCTGAAGGGAGACAAAGGTGCCTTGTGGTGTGATGAAAACTCAGAAAGGGTGATGAGATTTTTAAGCGTTTATGTGGCTCATTTAACAGAGAGAGGAAAAGCAACAGGGAGGAAAAGTCCTTACTACAGCAGATACCTCTGGGCTTAAAGCACGTCGTGCCCCTAGCCCGGCACCAGCAGCCACGGGGAAAGTGCTCATGTGCTTCTGCCTCTGCTGGGCCTGTGGATCAGTCCGGCCGGCTAATGAGGAGGGTCACCCTGCCCACGGCCGGCGTGAAGGGGGGCCTGCGCCAGTGAGTGGGGCCTGGACAGTAGAGTTCTGTTGCCTTTCAGTCTGTAAAATAAGAATGTCAAGGAACAATTGTTTCTTCATCGCCGTGAATGTGAGCCTTGTGCTCGCAAAGGTCAGCGCCTGGGAGCACATCATGGCTTGGAGTGGGTTCCTATGGTGATTAGGCCGCCGTGACTGAGGGCATTCTGTGTCAGGCCGCGGGGCTCTGGGCTTTCGCCCTTCTGTGGGGCGCATGCTCGTTTCCTGCAAGTGTAACCATTTCTGCCCCCCCATCCCCCGTTTTTTCTCGTTTTCATTCTTTCTGCAACACACGTAGTTCTGGAATCAGACTTCCGCAGCAGGTACGGTTTTTCTTGACTCTCCCTGTCCCTGCCTTCCACCAGGGACCCTTCAGCCAGAGGGGAGCCAGGGAGCGTTCCCTGCGAGTGAGGGTTTTTTGTTTTCTTTTTCCATCTCAGATGAGTGGAGGCTTTCTTCCAACGCTGATGCCAATGGAAACGCCCAACCTTCTTCCCTCGCTGCCAAGGGCTACAGAAGCGTGCATCCCAACCTTCCTTCCGACAAGCCCCAGGTAGGCATGTGCCTAGGGCGGGGTGGGCACTGGTGTGTGGTACCTGTTCGGAAGTCTTTTAGCTTTAGTTTGTACTTCCCAGTTTGTTCTGCTGGATAATGAGCTGGGTTCAGAGTTGGGTTGTTGGCCTACTCTGGAGAAACTCAACAGGGACCAAGTTAGGGAGAGTTGGCATTGAGGGGAACAGAGGCTTGGGATACAGCTGGTCTGTACCAGGGTATTGGAAGTATAGGCCCAATGTTTTATAGTTTTAAAGTGTGTTTAGGAATGTTCTGGAACAGGGAATCCATTTGGCCATGGATAGTGGGGAAAAATTCTGAGCCTGTTTGTTAAAAACTCTTTAGAGAGTAATAGTCAAGACAAGGGTGCACTCATGTGTTTATCCCATTAACTGGCTGCAGGTGGGGCTGTAAGAGTTCCAGCAACTCTATCTTTTCAGATTAAGATCAGGTAGCTGTGGCCAGACCTCATCCTGTGGCCCAGGAGCAGGCAGCTGGAAGTCAGAATGGCAGTGCAGTAGAGCTTAAACCACCCCCCTACCCTACAAAAGAAAATCCCCAAGGTGTACAACTTGAGGAGGGATCATTTTGCTTAAGTTTTCACCCTAGATTGTTTTCCTGATCTTTCTTCCCTCCCCTCCCTGTGGCTACTTTGCCATTTTGGTGAAAGGAATAGACCCTGTTGTAATTCAGGCAGTCCGTGGAGAGTGCTTTTACACAGAGGAGCCACATCCATGCAACAGAACAGTTCTTTCTTTTAAAGGAAGCTGTGCTGCCCAAAACATGTTGCAGAAATGTGTTCCTGAGCCTGCCTCTGTCAGGGTGCTCCCAGAACCCACATGGAACCAGGGAATTCTGCATTTCCTTCCTGGTTCCCACACTCCTTCTCCAGTGACCCTCTGGTTCCTGTTCCTCAGGACATAAAATTGCACTGTCCCCTGAAATGAAATCGAGCCGAAGATGATGTCCTCCTTCCTCTCTGCAGACCCCTGTCTCCCCAGGCTTAGAGCTGGTTGCTTAAGTATCTGCCTTGTGTGCTGAGCAGCACCACTAAGCCTTTGTGCCCCCACCATGGCTTGCCTCTCTGGGATTTGGCCATATGCACCCAGGACCTCTGGTTAGAACCAGGAGCTGCGAATGCACCCCCTGAAGTCTTCCTTAGACATGGGATTTGGGAGGGCAGCTGTCCAGTAAATTACTTGCCATCGTTTTCCCTTTCTAAGACCTTCCCCAGTGTATAAGTGTGCTGCCTGTGACAAACAGGCTTCCTTCTCAGCTATCTCAAGAATGGATACAGCCCAACTGGTGTGGCTTAATGGTTGAGTGTCAACCCGTGAACCTGGAGGTCATAGTTCGATTCCTGGTCAAGGCACATGCCCTGATTTCAGGCTCAATCCCCAGTAGGCGGCATGCAGGAGGCAGCCAACCAGTGATTCTCTCTCATCATTGATGTTTCTATCCCTCTCTCCCTCTCCCTTCCTCTTTCAGAAATCAATAAAAACATATTTTTTAAAAAGTGTTTAAAAAAAGAATGGTTACAGTCGGTTCGGTCCAGGTTAGGAAACAGGGCTCATCCATTGAAGGCAAACAAGAAAGTGTGTCCTGGTCCCCTCTCAGCGACTTAGCTCAAGGGTAGCTTGCTCCGTCCTTTTAGCTTCTTCAACAGCTCTTCAAAAGAGATGATTTTAAAAGCATGTGCGGGAAACAAACATTACTTTAAACACGTTCATTTACCACAGCTTTACTGGCCACTTGTGTTCAGATCACTGTTAAACATTGCCCTCGAGGAGTCTGTAAGCTTTATAGATGTTACATCCTGTAACATCCCCTATGAACAGCATAGTTTCTTAGTCTGACACTGTCCAAAACTTTTCTTTTTATGGGGTGTCTTAAACGGAGCCTGGTAAATACTGCTATAGCGGTTTAATGCTGTTTATTCAGTGTAATGTTGCTTGTCCAAATTTCAAGAACCTTCAGGTCGTGCACTACCTCTTGAATTTGCTGGATGCAAAATGACTTCTTGTCTATATAACCTATAGAGCTGCAAGTATACACTGGCTTAGAGCAAGCCAAGGTGGGCTGGGCTGGGGACTCCCCTGGCTTGGTATCAGCTGAAGAGAGCTCTCATATCCCTGTAGATCCAGCATCTCCTCAGAAGGACTGAATTGGGGTCCAAGAGCCTAAGGCAGGGGGGAGCCTGTCCCTTATGTTCTCCTGCCAGGTTCGGCCTGCTGCCCTGCTCCCCTTACCCCCAGTGACGGAGCCAGGCTGCCCTTTCTCTGATAGCATCATCATGTTGGTGTCCCCGGTGGAGATGGGGATTGGTACTTTCTAGAACCACATAAACTAGGAGCATATCGGATTCTTCTGAGCAGCCCCATCTTTTCACTGCCTCCCCTTCTAATAAGAGAAATGAGATTTCATTAGTAGCCTGCTGGGAGGATGCAAACCGCCTGTGGTTCCTACAGTGTTTACAATGAAACAGAAAGCAGCTCCTTCCATGTAAAGGGACTGTGCCTGTCCCCTCCTTCTTTAGGGCTAAAAGCAGCCCCAGAACAGGAAGGCCTTTGGCTCTGAGTGCATTGTCAACACTGGGGAAGTGTCCTCCGTGGGGTCAGAGCCCTGGGAAGCTCACGCCTGATGTCATGCAGCTGTGGCACCGTATATGGCCAGAGCCAAATTAGGTTAAAAACTCATTGCAATTGATTTCTATCTTTGGACAAGAAGGAATCACACGTGGAATACTTGAGCTTAAAGTAAAAGTAAATCTGAGCCTAATTCAAAATTGTCTTTTACTTACTTCCCTGACAACCATTATCAACTTACCCCACAGTCCCTCTGGTGGGAGTTAGTTCAAGGGTTTTGTTTCTAAAGAGCATCACTTAGTCTATAAACATGCCCCAACCTCCAGCCTGCATTCACTGGAACCAAGTGTGTACATCTGGAAGGTTTGCTCCTGGTAACTACTGACAAGGGGCTGCTCATTTTGTCTTTTTGGCCTCTACATATGGGCTCATTCCACCGGCACTGTCATGGGCATCCTGTCGAAGAGAGAGGCACCAGGTTACCCTAAGATACCCTAAGATACCCAAATAGTCTCTTCTCCATCCAGGTTATAAGAAAACTGAATTTGTTAAGGGATAGGTCGTTTACTGTTTCTGGGTTGCTTTTCTAATCCAGGCTCATAAAATTTTTTTTATTTCTCACCTATTTACCCTTGCTAGCATTCCTTAACCCTTTGCAGCTGCACACCACAATAAATAAAAAGAAAATGAAAAACCAGCTCAAAATAGGCTCATACCCTTGCACTCTCCCAGTTTTTGGTCACAACCCATTTACTAGATATTGACCAAACTCTAATACATCTTATCTTACCCGTGCCACTTAGAGGAAGGGTCTGGTTTTCTTCTAGTGTTGGCTATCTTTAAAAATAGGGGCCAGTGAAGAACACCTAGGTATCTTAGCTGGGGCTACTGTAACAACACCATAGTTGGGTGGCTTAAACAACAGACATTTATTTCTCACAGTTCTGGAGGCTGCGTGGTCCAAGATCAAGGTACTGGCCTATTTGATTCCTGGTTTGGGCTCTTCCTGGCTCTTAGGTAGCCGCCTTCTCACCGTGCCCTCATGGGGTAGAGAGAAAGAACTCTGGCCACTTCCTTTACTGATAAGGACACTAATCCCATCATGAGGACCCACCCTCATAACCTCATCTAACCCTAAGTGCCTCCAAAGGTCCACCTTTAAAAATCATTACTTGGCATTAGGGACTCAGCATCGGAGTTTGGGAGACACAGACATCCAGCTATAACACTAGGAAAGTAAATTGCTCATCTTATGGTCTAATTCCCAGGTGAGCCACAGGTTGACAGATGACTCTCATTGAAGTGAGGACCAGTCTGGAGATTTACCCTATTTCCTGATCTGCTCCATTGAGACCCAAGGAGGAGTCATGTTGACGGAGAGGGAATGAGATGTGAACTGTAGCTTTCTACCTCTGAGCCTGGAACTGGAGCTTTGGGCTTTAGCCAGGAGCCCTGGGGCTGATCACCTCCCTCCAGAACTTCTCTACCCCCTAGTGTGCTGGGTGGGAATGGGGAAAGGGCTGGAATTTGATAAACCAGGTACAGTCCAATCTGGTAGGTGAATCAAATGCTTCATTGCCTGATCCCCTGGTTCTGTGTACATCAGAAATTGGAGACTATGTGCTTTTAATCTCATGCCTGTCTTCCTTCTAATAATTAGTTCCATCAAATTGTTTCCTCTGAGAAAAGAGCCCATGTGGATTCTAAGTCCTGGCATTCTCTTGCTGGCGGGCTTTAATTTGTTATGCTTATGGAATTGAGTGCTAAATCTCAGTGGCGCAGTGAAGGCCTCTGTCTCCTGTGAGCCCAAGTAAGGATGACCCTGCCGAGTCTCCATTTCCAAAGGGAGACTTGAGAGTTTCAGTGAACTCCAACTTCTAAAGCCAAAGGCGTGAGGAGAAGAATCTTTGAGGAAAGGAGAATAGAAAATTGGGGGCTTGGGGCCTCCTCCAACGCCCTTGGGCACCCTTCTTCAGTCATGAGGTCTAAAAGGGTGCAGGTCAGCCAGGGTCGGTGTCAAAATTGCCTCGGCTCGTGGCCTGTCCAGGTGAGTATGAGCCAGTCCTCGGCTTTACCGGGAAGAGAAATGTGGACTCCGTGAGGAGTCCAAGCTGAGGATTTGCCTAAAAACTTGTCTAGAATTGTTTTGTCTTCAGGTCATGTTATGCTGCTATTTCTAATGGTCGTCCTTCTTTCCGTTTCCCCTCCTCTCTCCTTTTTCTCTGTCTTGATATTGTGTCTTGAAAATAATGCTGAAGGTTCTCTCTCCCCCACGCCCCCCTCTCCCTAAAGAGGGCCGCTTTGCATGGCAGCCCCCTGCCCTTCACAGTCCCTACAAGGACTCGCTCTACCGGAGCTCACCAAAACCTTACGTCCCACCCGGCACCCCCAGCCAGCAGGAACCCTCACCACCCCAGCCTGTCTCTGTCACCCTGGCAGCCAGATCAGCTCCCAAAGGTGTGGTGTGTCCTGGGCCCTCGCTTCCCGGTTACACGTCCCCCAGCGCTTCATCCCAACCCCAGCACCACTGTGCAGCCACCAGGACCGTTTATAGTGGGAATGTGAGCTCTAACCCACGTCATAAGGCAGTTGGAAATAAAAAGGTCAGCAGCTTATATGTACCCTGTTTATCCAATAACATTTGCCCGGTGGCATCGGAAAGCCTCTCCTGTGTTGCACGTGACCCAGCCCAAGGCACTCAGGCACCGGCTCCCAGCATTGTCTCCTGCACAGCCGGCCCGGGACAGCCACCCTCTGCTCCTCCTCACCCTCCCAAGCTCTTCTCTCACACCCGTAAAGATGCCGGTAACCGTGGCGAGAGTCCTTCCCTGGGGACTCGGCCTTCGTTCCCAGACGCAGTGGGACCACCTGTGCTAGGCCCCCAGGTTACCTCTGATCCCGAAAACCGGAGGAGAAAAGAACCTTCCCTTTTGCAGCCGTGTTATCCAGCCAAGGCAAGGAATTAGGAATGTATGTGTGTCTACTCCGTCTCCTGTGGAACTCGCGTGGCAGCTCATTTGTTTCTGGGCTGCCCTCCCCTCCCTTTCCTCGTTAATACCGCTGCAGCTTGAATCCCAAATTCTTCTCTCTAAACATCTCGGCACAGCCCTCTCTGTCTCCCTGTCTCTCTTTCCTGTGAGTTTGTAAGTATGCCAGAGCATGGAATACGTAGACCGATAATACCGTGAGAGATATATAGTGTTTATGTTTTATTACAAGGTGCCTACGAAATTGTATTTACTCCCAAGCTTTCAGGCTCCGCGAGTGGCTTTGGGGGTTAAACACAGCCTGCCTGCCTGTTCTCTTTCTTTCTCTCTCCTAAAGTGTTAAAAGGATTCAAAAATAGATGGATGGAAAGTGAACTTGGATGGGATTCCCTCTGTGTCATAGAGTGTCAGGAGGCCAACTGGCTAGCACCGACTGTCTCATGCACTCCAAGCAAAGGGCACCGATTAAATAGTTCTCGGAGTATATCATTGCATGTCCACTCTCAACTGTTTAAATATGGAATTCCTTCTTCCCTGCTGCCGCACCCCTTTACGTAACGACCCCCTTATTTCCTACAGGATGCTACTTCCTCCAGCCCAGCCCAGCCTGAGGTCATAGTTGTCCCTCTCTACCTGGTTAACACTGACAGAGGGCAAGAAGGCACTGCCACACCTCCAGCACCTCTGGGGCCACTGGGCCCCCCAGTCCCGGGGACCGCCCCTGCCGGCTCACCTCTGACCTTCCCAACTCTAGATGATTTCATTCCCCCTCATCTGCAGAGGCGGCCCCACCACAGCGCTCCGGGCCCCCACCCCCCCGTTAGCCAGACACCACCATCCTTCTCACCACCGCCTCCGCTGGTCCCCCCGGTCCCGGAGGGCCTGCACAGAGTCTCGGAGCCTGACCTCACGGGAGCTGTTTCAAGTACCGTAAGCTCGCTGGGGTCCCCTCCTCACGGCTTTCCCGAATGCCTGCTCCCAGCAGTAGAAGCCCTTTCTCACTGAGCACTAAGTTCCGAGGGGCGCGTTGGCTGCCGCTGTGCTTGCGTGATGACTGGAGGGGCCTGCTCTCCCAGAGTGCATGCCTCCCGTGTGTGTCCCTGGGGCTCTCGCGGCTGTCCACGGTCTCCAGTCCCTCTTCCTCGCTGTCCTCTTCGGAATGCACATCTTCCTGAAAGAATTTGGTTCTCCCACAGAGAAAACAACCTCTGTCACCTTGCCTCTGGCTAGGTGCGCTCGCCACAGGCAGGCAGGTGTAATGCTGAGAGCTGAGGAAAGCTGAAGCATCACGTTGAAAAGCCAACAGCAGTTTCTCCACCAGGGAGCAGGGAAGGAAGAGATTCACTCTTTTGGTGATTTAGCAAGTAAACAAACTTATATATGGCCATGGCACAGACTAGGTTGAAAAAAGATGGAGTATGAAAGAGCAGATGGGTATAAAAGCCTTGTATGAATGTTAGGACTGTTTCTTCAAAGGGCAGATGATTACTGGGGCCCCTGAGTAGTGGCTCCCAGGCCTTTGTGGCAAAACAGTGCCTCAATGGTCATGAAATTAAAGGGTCCTGACGCTTCAGGTTCCATCCTGTGAGGGACAGGTCCCCATCATAGGTGGGAAAGCCCAAGAGAAAGGCTGAATCAAAGCACTCAGCCTCTTCTCTTCTCAGGAGCCCTGGGGATTGAGAGATGAATGAGCCTCAGTGTGAGTTGTAAAATGGGGTGTACATGGACCTATGCACAGGGCTGTGGGGTGCAGTGGGCCTCAGTATGTAAGAGTTTCAATTATGGTGCTTGGCACAGGGAGAACTCCCAAAAAATGTAAGCTACGTTGCTGACGACTTGGCCTAGCAAATGGAGGCCAGAGTCCCTCAAAAATAAGTAACTGGCTAATTAACAGTCATTGAGTGCCCACCATATTCTGGGCATTCTAGATTCCTGTGTACAACCATGAACAGAGCACAGCCCTGCTCCCAGGCTCAGTGTACATGGGCCATCTGAGTGGCAGGAAAATGCATTTAAATAGTTAACTCCAGGTTATACTCCTGGAGTTTCTGATTGAGGGGGTGTGGGGAGGGACCTAGGACCCAGGCTGTTTTGGAGAATACAAGTATTCATCCCTTTGGCACAGAAGGCTGCTCTGGAGCAGCATGTAAAGCGAGTCTTGTTTTTAGTGCACTAGTGTACGTTGTGAGCGGTTTTGTTGTATGCCCTATACTTGGTCATTGTGTAGACCTAGGTGTTCATGTTGAGTTTGCTGCAAGCGGACCAGGACAAATTAGTTTGGACAGTGTCCTTGGTTTCTCAAACCCGACTGGCCAACCTGGTACAGACTTCCTGGGAGACTTCAGTGGGCCTGATGATGTCTAATTTGGCCCCAGGCAACAAAGTAAGAGGTGAAAAAGGAAACTGCTTGGGCTCCTCGGCTGAACAAGAATTATAAAGAAGCCAGATCTCCGTGGATGGTGGCCAAGCCACGGTTGGTATCTGCTCTCTCTGCAGCTACTTGACAGTAAAAGGAAAGAAGAAATTCATGTGAATTGGTCCAGATTCTTTTGGTCAATAACCATTTTTGTAACATTCCAGAAATAAGACTTGTGCCACAGAGTAGAATTTATAAAATGCATAATGCTCACCTGGTCCTTCAGGCCTCACAGGCGGTATTCATACTTTAAAAAGCTGTGTGCCTGACTTTCCCGTGTTCCTCAGCTGCATTATGGCAGAGTTTTCACTCATGTCATTTATCTGTGTCACATCACTTTGGAAGGAGATTAGGACAGTGTAACTCTTTTCCCACTTTACAAATGAAAAATTGAGATGAGGCACTTTTGTATTAGATCATATTGTGCCTCTCAAGTCTTGGGGAAAAGTTTCATTCGCTAAACTGAGCTGCTGCTCTTAACAGCTGTGACAGTAGGGCACTTTCAGAGAGTTAGACTGACCAAGCCAATGTTTTCCAGGAAGCCGCCCCTACTATGTGTCAGGAACTGTCCTGGGTCCTGACACTTACTTCCTCTCTTTTGATGGGCATGTGTTTTCTTGAATGTTTTGTTCTTTTAAACAAAAGTTCAGAAACACCTTTGCTGGTAGGTGGCTCCTGTCATTCCGGTTGCATTTTACTGCTGAGCACCTGCTGCCTGCAGGGCACTGTGCTAGGGTCCGGGGTGGAGGGAGGAGGAAAGGAGGCATGGCTCTTGCCCTGCAGGTTCTTACAAAGGTGATCTCTGATGGAGCATACCAGCTGCTTTCACAGAGTCTTGTTCTTCAAACCTTTAAGAATGATATTCTGGCTTTAGGGTCTGTAAATTCTAAAACAGAAACGTTGCAGAATGTATAGGTGTGTTAGAGGAAACTGTCTACGTATCCTCACTACAGTTCGAGGTCTTATTTCCTGTCTTTGAAAAGACTGTCATTCCCATCATGCAGATTATAATGTTAGTAGTGATGATTTTATTGGCATTTCCTGCTGAGACCCTCAGGTTTTTAAAAGTCAGGATTTTCACAAGTCTTTACTTCAGAGATCTTTGTCACTCGATATTGGGGAGAGAAAACATCGCAGTAGGACAGGATGATCTCCGAATCTCAGGAGCAAGTGCTAGTAAGGTTGCTCAGTGGTGTGGATGGTAAGAAGAGCTTTCCAAGAGTACCAGCACTTAACCCTTTCTATTCTTACACCTGTGGCGTCTTGTCCTCACATGTCTCATGTTTCTGTAAATGGTGTACTAAACTTTCCTGATTTTTCCCAATTAAACCAGCTCTCGTTCTCGGATCGCATTTGGAATTGCATGAGTTTTGCATGTTTTTTCTACTTTGATTTGAATTTGCTTTTTCAGTAACTGGATTGACCCACATTTATTACCAGGTGAAAATAACAAGTAATGTTGCTGAGACTTTCAGTAACATTATCTTCCCTCTCTCCCCTTACTAATACCAGCATTCCAGATAAAGCCTCTAACTGGAATCAATGACGTCTCATTGATTACGTTTTTTCTTTTCTTTTTAAAAAGCATTAACTCTAGGTTTTGTGCACTGACAGTTACAACGTTTGGGTTTGTTTTTTTTCTTTCCAGGATTCAGGTCCTCTGCTAAATGAAGTTTCTTCATCTCGTGTTAGAACTGATTCCCAGGCCTTTGCACCAGTCAGCAAGCCGTCCTCAGCCTACCCCTCCACGACAATCGTCAATCCCACTATTGTGCTCTTGCAACACAACCGAGGTAAGGGAGCTTTGCCGTGCACCTCTCCCTCCGTGCTCACTCTTCTGTGGCCCCTGGGACAATAAGTCTGCCTTTCCCCAGAGATTTTCACAAATCTCACTCTTCCCCTAGCTGTCGCACCAGTTTACTCCCATGACCCACAAAGTAGATTCTGGCACACAGACCCTGATTTGGGATGACGTCAGGTTTCGGAATAAGTAAGCTAGTATAGTGCATGTTCCACTTTGGTGACCACAGTGTCTTCAGATGGCAGCACCAAAAAGAAAGAAAAGACAGAAAGGAAAAATCTGTGCCCCTTAATTTCTCATCATGAGAATTCTAATCAGAGCTTTGCTTGGAAACTCTAGATACAGTGATACCTCTTTTCAGTAGTGTCCTAAATCATTTAGCTCTTAGATATCGTGAGTTTTCTAGAAAGCAACATTTTGAGTACCAAAATTATAAAAAGAAAACCTAGTGGCTGGAATATTTTCTAAAATGTCAAACATGTTTTTGTGCCTCTAAAACAGAGGCTACGGAACCTTTTCTTCGTGACTCACCAGCCTCTGTTCTTAGAGGCAGTTGTCACACTGGGCCACCTTTCAGCACACCCTCTGGGGACATGAGTGGCTGTTTGCCCCTTTCACTGTGTAGCCCCAGACAGCGCTGCTGGGGGATTTCTTTGTGTTTCCTACAGTTCCTCTGGCTGTTTCTAGTCAGTTCTTCCTCTTCTCTGCAGGAGTCACTTAGGGGAAGCCAGACGTACTTTGAGGTAACAGTTGCATATGTTGACCCTTCTGCTTTAAAATTCCAGAAGATGATTCTAAATGTGTTTCATTTTTGTAATTTAATAGAGGAATAAACTTTCCCTTCCCCAAAGGTCTGTGCAGTGTGAAATGTAAAATTTTAAGTTTTCTGAGTGTTTCCGAGTATAGAAAGGGCTTCTGCATCTGAATTTCAGAGAACAGTGGAGGTTTAATTGTTTTGTCCAGAGCTCGGTACCAAATCTTCCTTTTCTTGACGCCCTGCTTGCCTGCTTCATAGCCACCACCACCCCGCCCTCTGCCTTAACTTGGGTGAGAATGGGGCCGAAGTCTATTTTTAGTCGTTCTCCATATTAAATGGAGTTTTCTGTTTCCTGCTTCTAACTTAGAAAACAGATGAATGAAACATTTTCTCTCACTTAAAATCTTCCCACTCAAATCTTAGTTATTTAGTAATTTTATTTTTTTCACTGTGTGTCTCCCATATTCATTTCACCCATGAATCTATGTCCTTCAAAAAATAAAAAATGCTCCCATCCCCCACACTAAATTATGTAAGAGCCTGTTCTCCTCTCGGCAGTGGCTTTCCCTGCCCAGAAAGTGTCCGTAGTGCAGGACAAAGTGAAATTTGGGTTCTCTGTGAACTTCTTTATGACTCATCTTTTTAAAAAATCCAGTCAAACAGAAGCAAGTTAGTTCCCAGAAGGAAAAGCAGTTTCTCTAAAAATGGGATTTATTCCCAAGGCAACTTGGGTTTTGGGAAATGCCAAGTGTAATGTCAGCTGTTTCTGCCAAGTCCCTCTGACACCGAGTGAGACATCTTTGGGCACAGACATGCCCACACTTCCTTTCTGTTTCTTCCCTGAACAAACGGATTCTTCTTAGTTGCCCAAATGCCTTTGGTTCTGAATTTCTCTTTTGTCCAAGCCCTGCCCTTGGGTTTAAAAATCAGAATTGTGCAGCCTGCATCACACATCCTTCAGAAAAGGATGCACGTACATTCGGGTTTTGGGGGGAATTAAAAGTGGCTTCCCATAAAGAGCAAACCATATGTCCCCAGGGAGGCGTGGCAGGAAGAGCCAAGGAGAATGGAAGCGCCTCGCCGGCCCGGCCCCACCTTGGGTGACTGATTGTCAGTGGGGTTTAGGTCAAGCATCTTTTGCTTCACTTTGGAATCGACCCAGCCTGGCAGCTCTGCTTTGCCTCATAGATAATACCTGTAAAAACAATTTCTTAACTATTGCAAAGTCTCCTGAGGGAATGATAACTTTACTCCACTTCTGGAATTCTAGTTTAGTCATCCTAAAAAAGATTCCCTTTTTTCCTGCCTAGACTGGCCCAGGGCACAGTGTGACAATAGCCCTATCTCTCTCAGCCAGCTCCCTTTACTGCAAACAAGTGGACGGCACTGCGGTCTGGCCTGGCCCTGAAGGTCATGCACCACACAGCCCTGCTTCTCTCCTGAGCTTTCACATTCATGTGTCTGAGGGCGGATTGCTTATGATCGGTGTGATGGAAGGACTGGAATCAGAAAGCTCACAGGACTGAAAGAGATGAATGGATCCCCTAGCTCCAAGCTTCTCTGTCTTTATTTTATGATTTTTTAAAAAACTTATTGATTTGAGAGAGAGAGAGAGAAACATTGATTTGTTGTTCCATTTATTTATGCATTCATTGGTTGACTTTTGTATGTGCCCTGATCGGGGATCGAACCCACAATGGTGGTGTATCAGGACAACGCTCTAACTAACTGAGCTACCCAGCCAGGGCAAAGCTTCTCAGTCTTTAATGTGCCTAGACTTCAGGGGGTCTCCTTAACTTGCAGGTGCAGATTCAGGAGGTCTGAGGCGGGGCTGAGATTCTTCATTTTCCAGCAGCTCACCGGGTGTGTTGGTGCTTCGGGTCCATGGGCCACGCTGGAGAGCAAGAGCTCAGTGGTTCCCAGACTCTGTCACATGCAACAGTCTGGGGACCACCTAGGGTTGCTAATTTCTAACTTTGCTGAATAATACCCCTGAAAAACAATTGCTATTATCTGCATCACATGTCATTCCAAGAAAGAAAGGCCATTTCACACCTGAGACCTGGGAACAACATAGTGTTTTAAATTGAATAAATTTGCTTTTGGCTGCTGGGGAAGACCTTGCCCTTGGCTTGGAGACCGAAGTTTGGGATCCATGGATCCAGTGAGCACCTTGATTTAACAGATGAGAAAACTAAGGGAGAAATAGGAAATCGAGGTGACGTGACTGGTCAGTGTCATCTGGCCTGTGGCTGGCAGAGCGGAGCCTTGAGCCCTGCTGGGTTCTGTCGTCCAGCCGGTGTGAGTGAGCCTCGTCCATGGGCCAGAGGTGGACAGGGCTGCTTCCAACAGCTTTGGGCTCCCCTGTGCTGTTTACTTCTTGCCCACATTGATTCTGGAGGGAGGGTGGGGACGCGGCCAAGGGGGATGATGACTGCACCCATGGGCTGGTAAGCGTGCTATTTTTATCTATGTGGCTGCTTTATATTTAGCAGCTATGGAAGGTAGAGGTCATTTTTGTGCTTATGCCATAGCACGTACACACAGAGCTCTCCCAAGGAGAGGTTGGCTGCCCTCCTCGCGAGTGCCCAGGAGGGTGAGAAACCCATAGACCTCAATATTAAGGGGTGAGAGCCTGGTGATGAGAGTTGGAAAGAACCCTGGATTAGAAGATAAGGGGATTCCAGGTTTTAGACCCAGCTCTGGTTTTCAGTGTCGTCTTGGGTAGTTTGTGCCCCTTATTGAGGATGTGTCAGTCACCCTGACCTACCTGCTAGGGTTGTTGTGAAGATTAAAAGTATTAATCTGTGTGAAAGCTCTTAAAACAATGTCTGGCATTTCACAAACACTCAGGAGATGGTAGTTGCCATGGTTATGATCACAATTAATTTCCCTCAAAAGGTACCAAGGCTGAGGTTGTATAAGGTCCTGCTCTCTCAAAACCAGTGGAGTTGGGAGGGTCTCCTTCAGTGATCAGATTATCTTGAGATAAGATATAAACAACAGAAAACAGTGACAGTGCCAGGAGTCCTGGGGCAGATCTAGGGGCAGGGGGATAAGATATACCACACTTGGATAAGAGGGGCCATGTTCATATGCTGTACTCACTAGGTACACAGTATTTTAGCATCTAAGCCCAGAGGACAGCAAGGAAACATATATTGAGATCCTGACGAGTTATGCCCAGACTTCTCGGTTTTACCATGTCTTTGTAAATCTCACACTGTGTATTTTTTTTTTTTTATCACAGAACAGCAGAAACGACTCAGTAGCCTTTCAGGTAGGTGAGAAATATTTATTTACACGTTAACACCTGTTCCTGTTAAAACTGGCTCTGGTCACCACCTGACGTTCAATCAGCACAGTCCTGAGAGCTCTCCTGATGTGTGGGGACTCTGTCTGTTGCCGGATGGCGAGGATGATGGAAACAGGCTGGTTCCTGCTTCCCTGCAGCTCGCAGGCTGGTGGCACAGACCAGACAAGTGACCCAAACTAGTAAACGTTTCCTGTGGAACTGTGACACCAGCCTTGATGGATAAGAACAGGGTGCTCTGAATACAAAGAATGAAGAGTTATGTTTTAGGTGGAGTGTGTTCCTGGCAGGCCCTGCTGAAGAAGTCACCTTTCTCTTGCTTCACTCTCTCTTCTAGGATGTGACAGGTTGGGGGTTGGGAAATGTGGGCAAGTTTTTCCATTTCCATCTTGGATGGCAGGTCCAAATGACAGTGGATGGCCCTGGGATGATGGACCCAGGCGAGAGCCTCCCAACCAGCAGTGCCTGGAAGAGTGTGTGAGAGCTCAGCTCCATGACCTTGAGCGGGCGTCAGACTCCCCTGGAGCACTGGTCAGAGCTAGTCCACACCTGTAGAGATTTGGATTTAGTGGGTGTGGGGAAGAGTTTACATTTCTAACCAGTTGCCAGGCGATGCTGACGCTCCCTCTGTACTGACCACGGTTGAAGAGCAAGTTTCATCAAGAGCTGCGCACACGTGCAGGGTCAGGATGAGTTGGGTGGGGAGGGAACAGGCACGTAGGCCAAAATTGTGAGGAAACCCATTTCTTCCCGACTTTCTGTAGCCATCCTGCTTTGAATCCTGGTTCTACCACTTACTAATGGTGCAACCGTAGGCAGGTTACTAATGATCTGAACAACAGATCAGTTTCTTACCTGTCTGATGTTCTGCTTATAAACAGCTTGGCGCTGACGTCGGTGTTCGCTAAGTGCTTGGTGGGTGTGGGTCATTGTTTTCGGTAGGGCCCGGGTTGACTCACTTGTCATTTGATTGAATGTCTACTCTGTGTCAAGTTACTGAGCCAGGCTCAGGAGTCACATCATGGAGCTGCACTGCCCCTGAGCAGCTTGTGGTATGGTTTGTAACCTGTGTTGGTCATGGACCCATTTGGGGAATCTAGTGAAGGCATTAGGTTCATTCTCTAGAAAAAGCCACACATGTGGAAACACACACACGTGATGGATTTGCAGATACTCTCGAACACCGGGGTTAAGAGTCCCTGATTTGGTGGATAACAAAAGCCACCGTTTTCTGAGCAGCTGCTCTGTGATTACTGTATTACTTTGTCCCACTGCTGTCCTTGGGATTCGTGGAAAGCCCGGGTGGGCAGGACATGGGGTTCTCACACCCTCTCAGCTTTATCAGGACTTGGCTATGGAACCAGCACAGGCTGTGGTTGAGCACAAGGTGCCCTTCGCTGCCCCCTCCTCCAGGTGCCACACTCCAGCCCACTTCAGTCTGTGGCCCCAGGTTGCTGAGAGCAAGGTGGCTTGGGGGGAAAGGTAGCTCCTGTGGGCTCCTTCCTGCCTTTGGGAGTTTGAAAGGAACAGTGGAATAGATTTTTTTTAAAGGCACCCAAACACAAGTTATACCCAAAGTTTGGTCCTGGCTCTTCCCTCTTATAGCTGTTTGTCCCTGGGTAAGTGACTTCACCTCTCTGAGCCAGTTTCCTCATATGGGAAGTGGAGATGACACCTTGCCCCTGCCTCACAGAGGTGTTGTAAGGTTCATGTGCAACAGGAGGCTTTGGGGAAAATGCTATGTAAATGTCAGCTTTCTGAGCATTTCAGCATAAATTATCCTATTAGGTCCTCTAAGCATCTCTGTGAGCTTGCCAGTGGGAGTATTAGCCCCATTGGATGAGAAAACAGTGGCACAGAAAAGTTCAGTGACTTCCCCAAAATAAAACAAGGACTTTCAAGTAATGTTTGGCCACCTCTCAATGGTTTTACCTGCTCCCTGCCAGCCAGAACCACTCGGCTGTCTGCAGCACCAGGTGTCTACTTCTGCAAATGTTTTAAAGGGCCAGATGGTAAATATTTTAGGCTTCACAGGCCATACGGTTTCTGTCACAGCTACTTGACTTTGCCATTCTAGCTTGAAAGCAGCCACAAATAATACGTAAATGAATGGGCATGACTGTATACCAATAAAAGTTCATTTACAAAAATAGGTGGTTGGGCCTAGTTTTCTGACCCTTGCTCTCCGTGAAACTCATCCCAATTGAGAATCAACAAACACACTTCCCCAGCTGGATTGTTAGGAGGGTGTTTGGGGGCTTTGGAGCTACCAGAAAAGCTTCAGCTGATTGTTTTCCACTTCCAGATCCTGTGTCAGAAAGAAGAGTGGGAGAGCGGGGCTCGGCACCAACCCAGGAAAAACCCACCTCCCCTGGCAGGACCATCGACAGAAAGGCCAAGGACGACAGTAGGCGGGTGGTTAAGAGTGCTCAGGACCTAAGCGATGTGTCCATGGATGAAGTGGGCATCCCACTCCGGGTACGAATCCTGACCGAGAAGGCCTTCTTAGGCCTCCTGTTAAGCCAGGGACAAGCGTACACCCCTGTGTGCATGCGGGCCCCACCCATGGGTTTCAAAGGCCTCGTGAGGAGGGTCCTCACCACTGTCCACTGTCTGAGCCCACTGAGGGCCGCAGAGCCTCCAAGAGCTGTGCTCCAGCCTCCAGAGCCCACCTTGGTTCTGGGCTCAGTGTGCAGCAGCTTTCCCCAAAGAGGTGCCACTCAGCCAGATGAGAAGGATGAATGTGAAGAAAAGTTGGGTGGAACAAGGGCAGCGAGATTTCTCTGCAGCAGAACTTCTGAGAGGCTTTGGGCATGAGTGTGGTCAAGGGGAGAATGTTGCAGGTAGGTTCCCGTTCTGCCCCATCCATGGACACTATTTATTGTTCCATGGAGTGTACTTGGAAATTGTTAGTCCAGGGTTAGAGAACCCTGGGGTGAAGCTCACAGTCCCCATTCACGGTTTCCCGAAGAAGTTCCCCTGGATGGAAACTAGCCCATCATCCGGAGAGGGAGGGAAACTCTAAGGCAACCACAGAATGGATTCACCCTGCCGAAGCCTCCAGAACAGAGTGGGTCTCGGGTAGCCCTGCCCAGCGCATGCCCCGCCCCCGCTCGCCCCGTACAGGCATGCCAGCCTCCTGCAAGCCCGAAGGGATTGCAGGGAAGCCCAACACTTGAAAGTGGATAGGGTGAATTCCATTTCTCTCCATGTGCCCAGCAGAACACTGGCTCTGATGTTTCTCTGTGATTTGCATCGAGCAAATGAACAGATTTACGTGTTCCTTTGGAGAAGGCTGATAGAAACAGCAGTGGACTAAGCTGCAAAAGAACTGTTGTCTTGTCCTGTGTAATAATAGCTATATAATAATAATGAGAATTAATACTAATAGTAATCACAGCTACCATTTGCCAAGTACATTATCTCATTTAAACATCATTCACTCTACAAGGTAGATACTAATATTATTCCTATTTTATAGATGAGGAAACAGGGACTCAGAGAGATTGTTGCTTGCCCAGGATTACATAATTTGCGAGTGACAGAGCCTGAGTCCCCAGCCATTACCCACAACCATCATATTAGGCAGCCCTCCCACTCATCTCCTCACCAGCTCTGTGACTTTGAACGGCTTTGATTCATTTTTCCTCATCTGTAAAATGGGAGTGAAAATATCTGGTCTAACCACCTATCTATCCCCTTCCTTGTTTTATTTTTATCTTTAAGAAAATAAAAATAAAAAGCCCAGCTGCGTGGTTAGGGTGACCGCTCTGGCACTGGCTGCTATAATGGGTTACATTTTAACTTGTGCTTTCTAAATCTGGCCCATGCAGGGTGACTTAGATACACTTCTACAGAATAACCTGAGATGGGCGGGGCAAGGCCGATAGCAAATGTTCTTTGTCTCTTATATGTTTCTAGGAGGCTTTACTTCAGCTTACTCATCTATATATGAAAAGAGAGTCTCTCTAAAAATGAAATTTTTAAAAAATTATATAAAAATGGACACATTTTCAAGTGGCTCTTTGTCCACTGTTTTCAAAATCTGTGTCCTTTTGGCCAAATGTTACTCTGTAGATTCAGGTCTCCATCTCTTGGTTTGTCTATTCTTTCTCAAAAGTTTTGCATTTTTTTAAAGAGATTTCAGTGTGGGATCCCAAGGATATGTAGAATTACATGAGTTTGGACTTGAGATGTTGTCACTTTCCATTTTGATTTTGTAATTGTAGACGTTCTGAAACGTACCAGGATTTGTTTCACTTTACCCTTTGCCTTTGTTTTTCTCCAGAACACCGAGAGATCAAAAGACTGGTACAAGACCATGTTTAAACAGATCCACAAGCTAAACAGAGGTACTGGCTTGCTTTTGTAGCTCTGCTACGCTCACGTGTTGACTGTTGTGGTGAGGGCCTAAGCTCCCTTCACTAGGGTGCCAGGAGACTGGCCCTGCGGCTTAACCTCATTAAGCACCAGCCTGCCTGAGCCCAGCCGGCCGCCTTCAGAGCCGAGGAGGGAGGGAGCACTTGTGCGCTGCCTCACATGGGGGACTGAGGTCAGCTCAGATGTCCCCCTGCCCAGATGTTGTGGGATGCTACAGGCTGAGCCCAGCCTGCTCCCTGCGCTCTGGCATCTGCCTGCCTGGGATGCAAGCAGCTCCAACTCCCATCTGCTTCCAGCTCTAGGTGCACCTCCCCATGTCAGCCCATGACTGTCTTATAGGAGAGCGAGTTGAGAAAGCACTGAACTAGGAGTTAAAAACTGTTCTCACCTGGACTCAGTCCCCCAGGACTCATGTGATCTTGAACCAATCACGTACCTCTCCATATTTGTCCCCCTTCCCTTCCTTCAAGGGATGTTGCAGGATCCAAAGGAGAGCCATTTCTGCCTGGTGAATAATGTGTCTGGTGCACTTATAAGGTGGTGTCAGTATGAAAAAGAATCTTCCCCAGCTGGGAACCAGCCCTTGGCAGGTAGCCCTGAGAGTCAGTCAAGAGCTGACACTCTAAAGCCCGCTCAAGCTAGAAGAGAAGCGCTTCCAAGTCACGGGCCTGCCAGGTGGCAGCAGGTGACGCAGCATGGCGGGAGATCCCCAGGCCAGCGCTCGGGCAGGTCATGACCCCATCAGCTCCCATCCGCCTGTGCCACCAGTCAGCTGATAGGCAGGGATGCAGCTGCACCATGGGAAGGTACCACTCCTCCCACAGGCAGAGCACCCTGTCCTTCCTATGGCCAAATCCAGTCTGGCTGCCTGGCACAGATGACACACAAAGGCAAAGAAAAAGCATTCTGGTCAGTGTTGGCCTAAGCCACAAATTAACCAATCTCTGATTAGCTGTGGACGCCAGCTAACATCACTGCTAATTACTCCTGCAGTGTTCAGAATGAACCTGGTGGTGCCCCTCTTCAGACTCTTTCTAAATACTGAGGCTTGTGTTTAGTATTTCTGAGCCAAGAGTGAATCCACTGTAGTTGGGTGGATGAGCTCAGTCTCAGTGGCGATGCTAAAGGCTGGGTCTTCAATTGGATAGTGTTAGTTACACTGGTTACTTCCTGGAGCCAGTGTCCACTTCCTCCAGCAATCTGTGTCTCACCTTTAGACCCAGCTCTGGCAGCCCAAATGCCAAGACACAGATACATATGTGAAAAATACATAATTCTGCCTCACATGTGGTATTAGGCCTGTTATATGTTACAGCTATTAACAGCCTAAATTTCAGGCCCTAAACGAACCTGTCTGCCTTAATGGTAGGCAGAGGTATTGAAAAATGAAGACTCCACTCACTTGTTTGCCTTGACTCTAAGGTCCACAGCGCAGGGTTTGATTTATTTTACAAAAATTTTATGATAGTGTTTTCATTACATACTCTGTATTAGCACACTTAATATTCTTTGCCTATGAAAGGTAAAAACTTGAAGCTTTGTGCTAACTGCCTCCTGCTTCCTGGAGCCTATATATACGTAACTCTTTGTCCAAGAAGAGAAATGATGGTGTCTCTTTAGATGTGTCTCAGTACTTCAGGCAAAAGGACTGGGTTTCTAAAAGCAGTTTGAATTTCTTTCATATCGCTGGCGAGGCTTAGTATGTCCCGGAACTCAAGGAGCCTGAATTGTGTGTGGTTTCCTGCTCGTTCACTCTCTGCATTTGTATCTTCCTCTGTTCTCTCTCCCAAACCTGCTCCTCTGCCTAGACACTCCTGAAGAAAACCCTTATTTCCCTACGTACAAATTCCCTGAACTTCCTGAAATCCAGCAAAATTCTGAAGGTACCATAAACTTAGACAGTGTATCTGTTGTCCTAGCCTTAAATTTATTCTTATAGTTTCATTATAGGAATGAGACTTGGCTTCTAGATTTTATTTTTATAGTCGTTTTTGGTTGGCGAAAATTTTATTTCACTCATTTGCATGATGTGCTATATTAAAATAACTAAGCCCTTCCTAATGCATTAACCTGTTTTTAAGTGCAATGCCGCGTGCTTTTTAATGACACTAAAACAGGTAATCAGTCATTTGAAAGAACCAGTTCCTCCACCTCATGGTGGATGGTTTCAAAATCCACTGCTTTTCTCTGCTACAGAGGACAATCCTTACACTCCTACCTACCAGTTTCCTGCATCTACTCCTAGCCCTAAGTCTGAAGGTAATTAAAAGAAAATCACGTGCCTCTCTTTGTGCTGGTGCTATTACTTTCTTTCACCTTGGGTTTTTTTCTGGTGGCTAAGGGCTGTCTCCCGATGGTTTGCTTCCCTCTAACCCTGTGTCGTGTAGTATTGTCTTGCTCCTCGCTAACTGTATAACCAGAGTCTTTCCAGATGGGGTTTTGATCCTACTCCCTTGGAGTCTACGTGGTTAACGGCATAGACACTGTGGCTTAGTTATGATGCTGTGAGCATGCGGGGCTCTGGGAAAAGCTGCCCATACCCAGACACCCAGGGCTTTATGTTTGGGGTGGTCACATAGTATTGGTGGCTGGGTAGTGACTCAAGGAAGCTGAGTCATGGCTGGTGGTCAGGAGGTAGATGTGCCATCTGTAAAAAATAGAAAAGTACCCTAATTCCTATAGGTGCAACTAACTCATCCCTGGGCCTCTCTTGTCATGGACACTCAGGGTGTATCTTCTTGGTAAGGAATTCCCAAAGAGGTGTCCAGGTATGAGGTTCAGTCATGGTGGGAAATGATATTTCTTGAAAATAAAGGATTTGGCCAAGCTAGAAAATATTTCATGGAAGAGCTGGCTTAGGAATTTGGACCTGCTGAGGAGGATAGCCACACTTATATTTAAAAGATATTCCTTTCTAGGGCAAAAAAATCTAGGTGTCAAAGAAAGTTCTACTAGGCAAGTTCAGGGCAACATCCTGAGAATTATTCTAGGCCCAGGTATTGTCTGATCTTTGGATGAGTGATCCAGAAAGAGGAGAGTGCATGGGATATGCAGGAGAAAACTTCATTAAAGGCTCTTCTAGGATGAGATGTTGGATGCTCTGAATTCATTCATTCAGGCAGGATTGAGCACTTGTGTGTGCCACATGCTCTCCTTGGAACTGAGGCTAGTGCCTTAAATAAGATAGCTCCTCTATTCTCAAAAGTCCACATCTGGCAGGGAATCATTCAAGGGCACTTCATCATCCTCTGTGCACTGTGGTGGCAGTCACGAGATCGTGTGTCCAGGCCACAGGAAACCTTGCTGGCACTCGACAGGTCCTCAGCATAAACCTGGAGAATGTTAATGAGTGAGGGCTTTGGACCATGGAATTGGAGTTGTTTTCTAGGAGGAGCCCAGTACCACCGCCTCGGTTCTTCTGTGCTCTAATTAGATCAGCAAACCATCCCTCACAGCCCTTCTCATCTTTGGTAAATTTTTCAGTCATTCACCAAACTTTTATTGATCACTTAACATGTATGAGATGACACACTGGCATGTGTTAAATACAGTTTTAGTTAACCTTTAAAAGACAGCATTTAAATTCCGTCAGCATTTAAATTCGGCCAGCGGGACCTACTCCTTGCCGGAAACTAAAGTTCCCTTTCATCGGATAAAGGTTAAAATACCATTTCCAACCATTTCATGCCTGGGTCTATTTTGAATGAAAAACCTACCATACAAAAACAGGCTTAAAAATTAAAAGCTGATGATTGAATTTTAATGAGTGACCTCCTCACTGCCAACAAGTCTACTTGGTGTGAGATAACCTAATCTTTTTATCTTGGGGTGCTGATTCTAGCCCAAAGCATTGCTTAAGAAACAATTAACTGCCGTAGCCGGTTTTGCTCAGTGGTTAGAGCATCGGCCTGTGGACCAAAGGGTCCTGGGCTCGATTCCAGCCAGGGACACGTACCTCAATTGCATGCTCAATCCCTGGATCGGGGCACGTGCAGGAAGCAACCAATGTGTCTCTCTCACATCGATGTTTCTCTCTGTCTCTCTCTTTCTCTCTCTCTCTCTCTTCCACTCTCTCTGAAAAGCAATGGAAGAAATATCCTTGGGTGAGAAACAATTGATTGAGGAAAGGAAGTTTTTTTCAGGGTAATTTCAACTAAATGCAGTTTTTATTTTTGTTTTATTTGGACCTGGGAACCCAACCCACTCAGTAAGGTAGGGCTCACTTCTATGATAAGTGCACACCATCACTGAAGGCGTCTTATCCATAGACATGAGCAGAGGAGGGGCACCTGGAGAAGTCCTGTGAAAAAGAGCAGTGACTCCCATTGGCCGGGAAAGTTGGCGTAGACCTGTCACAGGCAGTGCCAGCAGACATCACAGTCAGCCTGGCTGTTGATCTAAAGACAGGGTTTCACGGCTTGACACCCAGAGCTGCCACGTTGTCAACTGCCACACCTAGCAACCCTGGCAGATGGTAATATCTGCCTTTTGGTACACGTCAAGTCAGGCCCAGGAGGGAACTGGGGTTATTTTGCCTAAAGGCACAAACAATAAGAGATGACGTGATAACTTTTCACTTATAATTTAGGAAGCAGAGCTGATTATTTTTTTATTTTCAAAGACCAAAATGGAAAAAATAGTCTTCAAGGATAAAAAGGAAAAAACTTAGACTGGACATGAAAACTTCATAACACCCAATGTGATCAAACTTGAACTCAAGTTTCTAAGAAGCTGTCTTCCCTGGAGATCTTTTAAAAATAGGGTAGATTTCATCTCTTGCCCACACTTCTGTCTAGATGATAGATTCTGACGTAGATCACAGATGCATTCAATTAGATGAGGGCTTTTTACAAGTGAGTGAAACATTTGACTAGATCACTTTAAAGAATTGTTCTTTTTATTTTAATGTTTTAAACTAGTAAGCGATTCTCTGGCTTGTGGCTTTGATGCCGCGAGCTCCAGCAGGTCCTCCTCAGCCCTGTCCGTGGTGCGGCTCCAGCCCTGTGCTCCTGTTGGGTGGGCCTGGCTCCACACCCTTCTCAACATGGGAAAGATTTATGCCTTTCAAAGAAAGGTGTTAAAGACAGATTAGTACCTCACTGAGGCTCTACCCATAGTTTTTAATGCACAATGAAAAATAGACAGTGTTACTGAGAAATGTGAGCCAGCCATTCCAGAGTTTATCCCCTGCGGAGGAGGAGACTCTTGTTGCTGCTGGGCTTTGTTTTGTTTGAATTGAGAATTTGAAGCCGAGAATATCCTGCAACAAACCTATCACAGCCTAGCCTACAGCTGCTGCCTCTGTCTAAATTCTGGTTGTTTATACAGAATAAAAAAGACATTTCTAAGTGTCGCAAACCCGGTTCTCCTAAATAGTGAAGGGCCATGTGAGAGTTTGTTTATGCTAGATGAGCAACCTTCTTTTCCCCCAGCTACAGTCAAAAGTAAACTTCTGGCCAGGCTTGGAGAAGATAAATAGAATTAGCATGTCTTAATCAAGGAGGTTTAAAATAGGCTTTTAAAGAGACCTGTAAATTGCAACAAGGAGCAGTCCCTTCGAGTCGCTTGATAGTCTTGGAGAGCACTCTGTGGGTCAGGAGTGATATTACGTTTAGTTTCTCTTTGTTTCATGAGGCAGTTGGGAAGAATTGGGGCCAGGAAATCTGGGGAGAGTAGAATGAATTCAGGAGACTTCTTTCTTGTCATTTTACTATAAACCCTGGTCGTTAGGAAGCTTATCAAAAATAAAAATAGTTTACCAGAAATCCTTTGGGAATAACTTTCGAGTAAGACTAAGCAAATGAGTTTTCCTTTTTTTTTATTTTTAAACCTTCCCTTGGTCCCCTTCCCCCCATCATTCCTTCCTCTCTGACCCAAAGCGACTTGTTGGGAATTATACTGCATTCTCTCAAAAGCAAATGTCCTGTCCTTGCATTGAGATGCCACTAAGTCAACAGATGGTGGGGGTGGGGAGCAGGGATGTTGGTGGAGACCAGCATCACCCCACCCTCTGCCGCACCCAGGCCACGGAGGGGCTGCCAGGGGGCTCTTCAGAATCCTGCCGGCGGTTCCCTCCTGAAGCAGGAGCAAGGGGACACGCTGTGGAAACAGCTTCAGACCCTGGCTCTGCCTCTTCCTCTCCTCCTCCCTTCTGCTCCAGGAAATAGAAGTGTGGTGGCCAGCAGCTCACAGCCCTACTCCTATTAATAATAACAGCATAGCCACCACGGTAACTGTGCCGCACTGCCCTTTGTGGAGCCCTTACCAAACTCCAGGCTCCATGCTGAGCGCATCGCAGTTGTCATGTCATGTCATGTTCCCAGCATCCTCCTGGGGTACACATCCTCATTTGATCAATAAAGGGTATGAGGCTCAGAAAGGTAAAGTAATTTGTGCAAGATCACACAGTATGTGGCAGAGCCAGAATTCCAACCCACGTCTCTGGCGCCCCCAACACGGGCTTTTACCTGCTCTGTCCTGCTGCTCTGCTGGTTCCTGTTCCCCTCCTGCTGTGCTCTGTGTCCTTGTTTGGCCCCCTCGCCAAGGGCTCTCCGGGGCCTCGATCCAGGCATGCAGCTTGCCCTGCTTCTGAGTCAGTCTTGTTGCCCTGGGCCGAGCCAGTGTCTCCTGGGACAGTGCCTGGGGAGATGAAGTTAGGAAAACTCTCCTGACACTTGGCCAAGACTGAGAACCCCTGGGACGGAGGAATACCACCCTTTCACCCTCCAAAAGAGGAGGATACTCGCTAGTATAGAATTAGGGCGGGAAATACAGATTCAGAAGTTCCATGCATGAAAATGGAAGATATTTTCAAATGGTACCTCCCATTCAGTGCAGAACCTCGTGGTCCATGGCCTGTCAGCCAGGGGTGAAGTCCCAGAGACCGGCTTTCCCCTTGCTTTCAGAGGCCTCTGCCACCACTGCCAGACTGAGGGTGACCACTGCCACCTTCTGGCAAAGTGACTTAGGACACCATCCCCAAGACATCCCCAGGTTGTGGCCGTGCATCATGTCCTGTTGGTCTGTCTCACTGCGCTTTTCCTCGTTTCTTGAGGAGGATGCACTAAGGCAGGGATTCAGGAGCCTGATTTTCCCAGGCACATCTATATTTGAGTTAAAATAATCCCCTACTGGCCTTGCAGGATTTCTAAGAATAGCGTTATTTTGCTTGAGTTGGAGCAAATCGCTCTATTGTGAAGATGCCTGGCCAGGATCCGTGCCTCCTGCCCCAGCCTCCAGCTAGTACTGCCCAGAGGAGG